CCCCCCTTTCCTTCTTCTGACGCTCCGACGCTTTGTTTAAAAGCACAGAGTCAGAGTGTGAACGGCGCAGTATCCACATTCCCTAGCCTTCCACTTATGGAGTTACGTTATTTGATCATCAAAAACCTGATTTTTCCACTGATTTGGCGTTTTTGTAACAGCACTTCCAAACCTTCTCATGCACTGCGTCAACAGTACAAAAAAGTTAGTGGTAAGGAACTGTTCCCCTCCACCAATTAATACTGCAGAGCAAGGTCGACCTAGGGCCAGGAACTCGGCCTCCCATACATATTTGAACCATGCATGTTCAATTTTTTTAACATCTCTAATGTCCAGATCGAACTTTGTGCCAAAACCTGCTCGCTCTAATAAGCCGGTAACAATTACGCAATCATATGGACTAGAACTAGCTCCCATTACGAACAAATGATTCGAAGAAAGAATTACTGGTAGAGTAACGACAGAGTAATAGTAGTTCGAAGCAGAAGTGGGGAAGTGCCAAGTAAAAGAACCACTACATAAATGCTTCAAGAGTTAAAATCCCGATCAAAGTCCGTTCGGGAAGCCCAGTCGTCCATCCTTCCCGATCGGGTAAATGACTTCAGATTGGTCTCACAGTTAGAGGAAAGAAGGACTGATACGAAGGACTAGGTCACCCAGGCTTGGTAAGCTATTGTAAATGTCATGTTGGTACTGAAACTCTCTAAGGCTCGAAAATGACGTCGAATGCGAGGGAAAAAGGCTAGATAGGTTGTTATGTCCCAGTTAATCGACCCATAGCAGTTGAGTAACTCACAAGCTACTTGGGAATTGAACCTTTTCTGTAACAAAGCAATACGTCATAAATTCCAAATCCTTCGACTCAAATAAACTTGTGACCACTTGTAACCTACAGTTCAATCATACCGCCATTCTCCTAGCATTCCTAAAAAGTAGTAAGAGTCAGCTGAAATTAACTCGTACTTTGCCTTCACTTCCCCCAGTTTTCTGTGCCGGAAACTGCTTCTGTCCATAGGCTGCCATCTGTTATTGCTTTGGGTTTGTTGAACTGTTGGTCGCTTTTCTTGTACCTAAATTGAAACAAAGTATTTTCGCTAATTCGGAAAGTATGTTGGGAGGCCAAACCTCCGGGAAATACGGTCCTGGATTCTCTTCTGTTTGCTTTAATCGACGCTGGTATTGTGACCAGGGTATAATTGCGGCCGGACGTAGCACATCATCACACGATGTAGCCGCCACCAGAAAAACTGGAACCGAGGAGTAGTAGTAGTAGTAACAGTAAAAATTTCAAATTTCAAAGCTAAAATACAGTCTGATTTTTATAACGGGATTACGAGAACCCAGAGTCACCGAATGATGGGATCCATGACAGCGGTAAACTACTTTGGTTGAAGTTACAGTTGGTGGTCCTGGGTATCTCCTTCATTTAGGTCGTACCTCACCCTAAACTATTTACCCTCTCACATTAGAATGGAAAACGGGGACAAAGTGATTGTACTCCCTTCTACATCGAGCACAATGGGTGACCGGAAATAGAGCGTTGCCGTTGATCCGCAACCAAGGACGTAATCGCATGGTACGTGACCACGTAAATTGCCACTACCAAATACGCAAGGACAACCAGAGCACGTGGAAGGAGTATGACCTAATTAAATCCTGCCAAAAGTTATGGGTTCCAGTAGTAAGCCTTCCGTGCCCCCCCCCCCCCCCCANTCTTTTAAACTATATCTTCAATTCCTACCGGAACAAGTGATGAAATGAGGAGAGCTTCTCTGAGTAGCCCCGAGCGCATCATAGCAATCGCACAACCGTAAGAAAACTAAAATGGTCCGCATGTTCACAGTAATCCCGCCATTTCCGTTACCACAGTGCAATTGACTCTGCTAATTTACAGCATTTTACGACTAAGAGATTCTTGAGACGATAATGGGATTACTGTAGAGACTCAAAGGACACATCTTGACTTTCACCTTTAAACGACAAGTTTCTCGATTTGCAAAAGAAGATCGTATAACAGAAATGATATGTTTTGGAAATTCTCATATCACAGGTCTATGTTACTATCTCCTTGGGCTCGACATCATTCTCGGCTCCAACCCTCGTCAAGCGAGGTTCAAACCTATCTCATTGAAATTGCAACTTATAATTAAAGGTATAACTCGAAGCATAAACAAAATAAAAGTGAAACTCACAGGCGACGTTCACGGCAAAGGTCCGCATCTATTTGGACTGATCAATCGGGGTCACAGCCAGGTCCTCGTCCAACCTCCCTCGTTTTCCCTCTCACGTCACGCCGCTCGCTATACCAAACTGACCACCACGGTGCTTGGTAACCAGACCATGAACACCACGCACGAAAGCGGCGGTTGTTTTTCATTGCAACTCAAATCGCCCACATTTCGTAGAATTATCCCCGAAAAAATGACTTTCAAGCCGATTTACGCGCTGGATGAAGAGCTGTCGTTTCGAGAAATCCCGTTCTTAAAGCTGACCATGCTAGGAGAACCTGATGTTGATCCGTCACGATGTCCTCTTCTTGAGCTTCTGCAGTATTTCATGCCTAATCCGTTCCAAATGTGGGAGTGAAAAAGAACGGCCGGGCATTACTACTTCTCAAGCTCTTACATTTTTGATAGGAGGTGGGGGTGAATGAAAAGAGGAGTCAGTTAATGAGAGAGACCATTCTTATTGATCGTTGTGTCTTCTTCATCCCGAAGCGTTGAAAATACGTCTAT